AAAAAAAAAAAAAAAAAAAAGGCTAGGTGAGGTGGCTCATGCCTGTAATCCCAGCACTTTGGGAGGCCAAGGTGGGTGGAATCAGGATTTAAGGTGTCAGGAGTTTGAGACCAGCCTGACCAACATGGTGAAACGCCGTCTCTACTAAAAATACAAAATTAGCCAGGTATGGTGGCACGCGCCTGTAGTCCCAGCTACCCAGAGGCTGAGGCAGGAGAATTGCTTGAACTCAGGAGGCGGAGGTTATGGTGAGCCAAGATCGCACCACCGCATTCCAGCCTGGGCGACGAGCAAACTCCATCTCAAAAAAAAAGAAAGAATAGGGAACGCTGACACGAGGTCCGGGCCGTCTCCTCTCCAGACTCAGAGGCTCAGGGCTAGAGTTGACCTTCTGTTGTCCCATTTCCCAGATGGTAGACTGAGGCCTAGAGAGGCAGAGACCTAAAACCCATCTCTACAAAACCCTGTTGACCTCCAGACCATGTAGGATGGTTGAGAGGCGGCCTTTGGGGCCAGGCCATCTGGGTGTGAATCCCAGCTGTGTGACCTGGGGTAATCAGCTTCACACCTCTGGGCCTCAGCTTTCCACGCCTGTAACTCGGGAAGCATAATCATGCCTCTCTCTGAAAAAGAAAGGTTTTGTGTACAGGGCTCATCACAGGGTCTGACGCATGCATTGCGTACGATTACTATTATTGTTATTATTTTAGGTACTGGGTCTTGCTGTGTCGCCCAGGCTGGAGTGCAGTGGCAGGATCACAGCTCACTGCAGCCTCGATCTCCTCGGCTCAAGCTATCCTCCCACCTCAGCCTCTCCAGTATCAGGGACTGCAGGCAGGCGCCACCAAACCCTGCTAATATTTTTTTATTTTTGTAGGGATTGGGTTTTGCTCTGTTGCCCAGGCTGGTCTCGAACTCCTGGCCTAAAGCGATCCTCCCACCTTGGCCCCCGCCAGAGTGCTGGGATTGCAGACGTGAGCCATGGTGCCCAGCTTATTACTGAGGAGGGCATGGGAGCCCCCTCCCCTTCAGAGAGCATGACGGACAGCGCTCTGCTCTGTGGCTTCAGCTGAAACGCTGTCCTCAGCTCCCCTCTGAACTATGGAAGCAGGTGCTTGGCCTCTTGTTGGGGACCCTGTAGAGCTAGATATGCCCCTGTCCCCCGATTTCCCAATTTGGGGACTATAGGAGTCCACGCAGCGCCAAGCCCACCCACACTTTCCTGACCCTCCTTCCACCCGGCACCGTGGTCGGGGGGCGGGGATCAATTAGGTCTGTGGTCTGCCACGTCAGTGCTGTGACCTCAGCCAGCCCCTGCGCCTCCAAGCCCCGCATGCCCATCCAGGTACTGGGGGCTGGATGCCGCCGGGACTCTCTTAGCCCCCTCTTTCCCTCCCTCCAGCTCGGGGACAATAGGCAAGATGTTTATCCCCCGCCGGCGCACATGTTGTTCGCGGTAATGACAGTAATCAGTGGCGCTAATGCCGCATTCTCTCCGCGCCAGTCAATTCCCCTAATTACCGCCTGGGAAGCCGGATTATTTAAATTTAAATGGTGATTTATTGCGAGCTTAATCAATGCTATTTTCTCTCCCCCCCTCTTCCCCTGGGACGGGGCAAGGAGGGGAATTGGAGTCCCTCCTACCCCACCCTGAGGACACCCTCTTCTCCTGGAGGGGTGGGGACAGGGTAGGATGGGGTGCCCTGAGACTTCAGATGAACACCACTCACTGCCTTATCGTCATAACCGCAAAGCTATAACAAACACATAAAACAGAAGTAATAATAACGAAAAAACACGCCGATGCCTCAGTAATAAAGTCTGAGTAATAATAAACTCAGATATGTATCTGTATCTTACACAGTTTATATTTTTACATAATCTAGATTATATTGCTTTGCCTATTTCTTTCTTTTTTGAGACGGAGCCTCACTCTGTCACCCAGGCTGGAGTGCAGTGGCCCAATCTCGGCTCACTGCAACCTCTGCCTCTCCGGTTCAAGCAATTCTCCTGCCTCAGCCTCCTAAGTAGCTGGGACTACAGGCACGAGCCACCACACCTGGCTAGTTTTTGTATTTTCAGTAGAGATGAGTTTTCACCATGTTGGTCAGGCTGGCCTCGAACTCCCGACTTCAAGTGATCCACCTGCCTCGGTCTCCCAAAGTGCTGGTATTACAGGCGTGAGCCCCCCGCCCGGCCTGCTTTGCTTATTTCTTTATTGCGTTTTGGTCACTAGGATGCCAGCCACTCCGGGGCAGGGACTTTCATCTAGTTTGTTTCTCCTGCTGGATCCCAGTGCTCAGAAAAGTGCCAGACAGGCAGGAGATGCTCCAGAAGCGGGTCCCCCACCCCTCCTCCCCGCCGAACCCCTCCAGCAGCCCGGCACGGTCACTGCTGATAACAGCATTGGCCGCATATAGGTGGCTTGCTCAGAGCTAGGCACTTCCTGGGACTTTGCAAATAGGACCTGCTTGATTCTCTGTTCAGCCCCCTGGGGGAGGTTGGACCGTTTTTTCCCACTTCACATTAAGGAACAGAGAAGTGAGGTGACCTGCCCGCCGTGGCAAAGTCGGGGGGTGGCTGCGCGGTGACAGGGGCCCCGGGGCTTCTTCCTGAAGCTCCCCAGCTCACCCCCCACACCATCCGGTCTCCCTCTTGCTCCTCCAACTGGGGGCTCAGACTGTATAGTCCTTGCGTCCCTGCTGGGGACCCTCAGGTCGGGATCCAGGGTCTCTTGCCCATTAGTGAACGGGGGGCCCGGACCAGGGTGGGAACCTCTGTGTCCGACCGGCTCATGCAGCTGGGAGTCTCTGGTTGTAATAATGATTCCTTTCCCCTAATAAAAAGACAGGAATAGCATTTAGCAGTGACCCCTAGCACTGCCAGCCCCCTGTTTAGGGCACAATGCACGAAATTTTCCCAACCTCTTACGCCCATTTCACAGTTTAATAAACCGAGGCTTGGAGAGCAGAAGCCACCTGCTAGGGGCACGCAAAGGTCCTGGCTGCCTCCAGAGACAAGCAGCTGGGCAAGGGCAGGCCCGCAGCTCAGACCCAGGCTGCGGTGACTCGTCCTGGAGAGCCTGGGCCCCTCGCCCCGCGCATGCGCACTCACCGAGGCCGGCCGGCGGCCCCGCGGCTCTCAGCCCCCAGGGCGGCGCCCCCAGCGCGGCGAACCGGCGCAGGCGGAGGTAGGTGACGCTGAGGCGCACGATGGAAGCCTTGTCCAGCTGGCTCGAGATGGCGCCGGGCAGCGGGAGAAGCTTGGCCAGCTCGAAGAACTCCAGGTTCTCCTTCCCGCGCCGCGAGCGCGCCGCGTTCCGGGACTTCTCCTTGCGCTGAGCCTGCAGGCTGGGCGGGCGGCGCGGAGGAGGTGTCGGCGGGGTCCGGGGGCTTAGGGGCGTGGGAACTGAGGGCGAGCCCCGCCTCCCGGGGCCTTGGGAACCGTTCTGGGGAGTGGATTCCACACCTCTGGAGGTGGGAGCCGAGCGGAGTGTGGATTCTGCACTCCAGCCAAGGGAGTGTCCCAGAACCTCGGGTGTCAATTCTGGGGGGGAAGGAGTAATTCCGGTAGGGTGGGGGAAGATTAAAGATGTTGGGCGTGAATTCTAAGGACGGGGACTTGAAGCAGAACGCAGGGGACCGGGCTCAGGACGGTGGTTAACTCAAGGTAAGACCTTCTAGCCCCAGTGGGCGGGGCCGGGAGCTGGGTGTGAACTGCCCCTTGGGATGGGGACAGAACCTCGGGTGTGAATTGTCCTCGGGGACGCCTCCCCGGGGGCGGGGCCGCGGCCAGAGGGGCGGGGTTTTGCTCACCATGGTCCGGACGGCGCCTTGACCATCAGCCCGGGTAGAAAGTCCCACGGGACGCTGGCGCCGCGGCCTCCCCCGCATTTGACCTCGCTTCCACCGCCACCGCCGGGATAGGGGGCCGCCATCTCCGGGGGGCTCGCTCAGGCGGGCTCCGAGCCCCGTGTCTCCTGCAGCGGGAAACGGCCAGAGGCAGCGCTCAGTGCCCTCGGGAGACCTTCTAGGGAAACTGAGATCCGCGCGGGGCTCAGGGTCCCAGCAAGGAGCTGGGGGTGTGTGTGTGGGGGGAGCGGGGGAGAAATTGACTCATATGCATGTTTGGTTGTACCG